AGACAAGTGACTGCGCTTTTTATAGGCGGGAAACTGGAAAAAGGGCTTTGGATTGGATAAAAAAGATCACGTGGTATTTATTTTTTAAACTTTAATTAATTCAACTTAAATCCATTAACTCTAACATATTGTCATTCATAAATCCTAAACATGTTACGCCATCTTCAAAAGACAAACAAGGAAAATGGTGATGGGCCCAAGCATGGACTAAACGATCGTTTTCGGTCAGATTAGATTGGAACACCGATAAAGCATGGGGTGACGGTACGTGGAATTTATGCCACAAGTAAAAGAAACAATAATGCCCGCAGACAGCACTTTGATTTCCTTGAATCCTCCGGGTATTGTGACGTAAGGGTCCTTGACGCCGCGCAAAGTCGGCAAAATTTTGGCCATACACTTCTGGGGAACATCCAAACGAGTCGAAGAAATCACAATGGTCTTTTTCGCACACAAAAACTGTCCAATGTTTTCCAGGCTGGCCTGCGTCGTCGGTATTCACAACGTACGCTGAGGGATAGCGTGTTGGCTGTAAGGTTTGTAGTTGATTTCTGGCTAACACGCCTGCAAATTGTCCCGGGATGTGGCAGGCCAATACTTCCTCCAACTGTGAAGTATACAGAGGTTTACCAATCCACCAGAACTTGGCGGTTGACATCGATTTCCAAGACATTATCTTATTCGGCAAATAATAGCAAATCGAGTGGATTTTGTGGAGTATTTTCGATTCCAAAGACAAACTTCCTGACGACTTGGGATGAAAATTGGCTTGATCAGCTCCGTGGTCATTGGTTAAATCAAATCCAAAGAGTGTGTAGCCTTTAATATAGTCGTTGTAAGACAAATGCAAATCTTCCTTAGTATTTAATATTCCCAATCTTTTCAAATCAAATCTAAATAGGGAGCCGTGGCTTGTTGATGTGTAAAATGGGTGAAATATTCACCCACCACATCACCATTTTGGTTGCTGTCTTTCCAATTGGATGCGAACGTCGACCCCGTTCACTAAAAAACGATCTTGTAAACACAAATTCATGTGCAGCCGGCATTGAATTTCAAACACTGAACTTTCACCCATTCTTTTTCTTCTGGCTCCCAACGCTTGGTTTACGACGTGTACGACAGCATCATCGGCACCGGTTTCAACGGCTTGTTGGTCGGTCGTGTCTTTCTCCCACATCACTTGCTGATTTATGGAGTGCTGGAAACAAGCTGATAACCTCCCCCAAGTTGAAAAGGAAGTGCTGAATGTCGACCGTGGCAAAGAAACCGTCAAGGGTGGATTAAAAAACATTCTACAAAAGGCCGTCAAACCTGCTTTGAAATCTAGTAGTAAGCAAGTGATTATAGGTACCAGACGCTGATTGGCTGAGACGTATCACGTGACTAAATGTGACGTAGTAGTATAGGCGACCTTCTTAGAATAGCCTTCGACGAACTCGGTGACGTCTATGACGGATTCTGGCTAACAGCTCTGGATCGATTCTCCTCCGTCGCGGTGTCTCGTTCATCGCCGACTCTTCTAAAAGGTAGGCGTCCTCTGGTGTAATGATGACAGTTTTGCCATAACGGGTAAATACTTTAATAGGCCTGTCATCCACTTCCAAGATTTGGACAACAATGATAGGTTCGGTTGCCATGTTACAAATGACTGGCCAAAGACAAGTGACTGCGCTTTTTATAGGCGGGAAACTGGAAAAAGGGCTTTGGATTGGATAAAAAAGATCACGTGGTAACTTAAATCCATTAACTCTAACATATTGTCATTCATAAATCCTAAACATGTTTCGCCATCTTCAAAAGACAAACAAGGAAAATGGTGATGGGCCCAAGCATGGACTAAACGATCGTTTTCGGTCAGATTAGATTGGAACACCGATAAAGCATGGGGTGACGGTGCGTGGAATTTATGACACAAGTAAAAGAAACAATAATGCCCGCAGACAGCACTTTGATTTCCTTGAATCCTCCGGGTATTGTGACGTAAGGGTCCTTGACGCCGCGCAAAGTCGGCAAAATCTTGGCCATACATTTCTGGGGAACATCCAAACGAGTCGAAGAAATCAGTAGTAAGCGAGTGATTATAGGTACCAGACGCTGATTGGCTGAGACGTATCACCTGACTAAATGTGACGTAGTAGTATAGGCGACCTTCTTAGAATAGCCTTCGACGAACTCGGTGACGCCTTTGATGGATTCTGGCTAACAGCTCTGGATCGATTCTCCTCCGTCGCGGTGTCTCGTTCATCGCCGACTCTTCTAAAAGGTAGGCGTCCTCTGGTGTAATGATGACAATTTTGCCATAACGGGTAAATACTTTAATAGGCCTGTCATCCACTTCCAAGATTTGGACAACAATGATAGGTTCGGTTGCCATGTTGCAAATGACTGGCCAAAGACAAGTGACTGCGCTTTTTACAGGCGGGAAACTGGTAGTAGTAGTAAGCGAGTGATTATAGGTACCAGACGCTGATTGGCTGAGACGTATCACCTGACTAAATGTGACGTAGTAGTATAGGCGACCTTCTTAGAATAGCCTTCGACGAACTCGGTGACGCCTTTGATGGATTCTGGCTAACAGCTCTGGATCGATTCTCCTCCGTCGCGGTGTCTCGTTCATCGCCGACTCTTCTAAAAGGTAGGCGTCCTCTGGTGTAATGATGACAATTTTGCCATAACGGGTAAATACTTTAATAGGCCTGTCATCCACTTCCAAGATTTGGACAACAATGATAGGTTCGGTTGCCATGTTGCAAATGACTGGCCAAAGACAAGTGACTGCGCTTTTTACAGGCGGGAAACTGGAAAAAGGGCTTTGGATTGGATAAAAAAGATCACGTTGTATTTATTTTTTAAACTTTAATTAATTCAACTTAAATCCATTAACTCTACCATATTGTCTAAACATGTTTCGCCATCTTCAAAAGACAAACAAGGAAAATGGTGATGGGTCCAAGCATGGACTAAACGATCGTTTTCGGTCAGATTAGATTGGAACACCGATAAAGCATGGGGTGACGGTTCGTGGAATTTATGACACAAGTAAAAGAAACAGTAATGCCCGCA